ATACATGCACACATAAGTCCTACTAAAGTTGAGAAGAGAAATGGGGTTTTCTGAACTATATTTAGATTTTTGCAGAGATTGTCGTAAACAGAAAGACATGTTCGGATTAAAACACCACTAGAAAATCATAGCTATATAAGAAGCCATGGCTTCTTGACCGAGTGGCTGGGCTCCCAAAATAATAATACATGTTCCTAGACTAGAAATGAAGCAACCAATCATCAGTTTTTCAGATCAGAATATTATTGACCTGGTATCAAGATAAAGTTAATACCACAGATATATATCCACCAAAGGTCCACTATAGCCATGTCAAAACTATTGCATTCCAATGAATATAGTTTATAAGGTTGACCTCCCCACAACAGACATGTAAAAACTTAGGAAATAGAAGATTTCCCACGATTTTATGAATAATGTTCTTTGTGATCAGCAAATGCAACCAATTCAATGAAGTACAATCACCAGGTAAATGATAGGAATCACTACCGCCCATATGGAGGAGGCATAGGTTGTCCCGGCGATGGTCTTGGTTTTGCATACTCTGCAAATATCACCCAACCATCCAGAAACTGCAAACAAGGAAGGAAAAAAAAGTGAATCAATTTTCAGATGAGCAAGTAGCAACCAAGAATATCAACATCTGCCTAGCATAGCCAGTGATAGTTTGTTTAGTAAGACATGCCAAACTCAAAGCTAAGACCGCATCAAATATGCAGAACAACACAAAAGAAGTACATCAAATATATTAAAATGAGCAAGGCCGTAAATATTTTTTACAATCACAAAGCACAAGTTTATATCCGTTGTATTACCATTGCCATGTCAAACTAGCATATGTGACCTAAAACGTTCACATTATGATACCAGAAGCAAAAATTGTTGTAGAGTTTGAAGTTAGACATTGATTCCAAGTGATGGTAGAGAAATGACGATTCTGAGGAAACTCATATTAAGACTTGGATGCATATCATCATAGACGATGTGCAAATTCTGCATCAGTGGAGGGAAAGCAACGTTGCCATCTTCAGGCAATACGACTTTCATCGTCTAAGGCAGTGTGCTGAAATCTTAACTCCTATGTTTATTTATCTAGTCCCAGCTGAGTCAAATTGCAATTTTGTTAAAATTAAAACATTCAGACATACAAAAAAAAAAAAAAACAAATCCAGACATAGACACAGTAGACTTAAAAATAAATTCCTCATATCATCCCCATAGTAGTCCACCTCAAAGCACAGAATATATTCTTGCAGCCCAGCTTACCTTTCCATCCATGCCCTCAATGCCTTTTGCAGCTTCTTCTACAGTAGCATATCTTACAAAGCCAAATCCTTTAGAGTAACCTGATACTCTGTCAGTTACCACTCTAGCTGAAAACAGCCCAAAAAAAAAAAAGGACCGTTATGGTTACAAAATGTAGAGTTTTGAACAAAAGTACATGTAGTGATACACTAAAACTGGTCATAGCTTAAATTGTGTAGGGAGGCAGCACAAACCACTAACAACTTCACCAAACTGGGAAAAAGCCTCCCGTAGCTTTTCTGTAGTAGTACGTTTGCTAAGCCCTGAAAGTGAGAAATATAGAATATTACCATACCCAACTCAAGCATTTGAAATGATGAAGTGTGTAACCAAGATAGTGACAAATATTATATAAAGAAAGCCATCTTAGCATAGCAACGGACAACTGTAACATCTTTAGCAACTCCTAGCAACACAACTACGTAAAAAGCTAATTATTTCCCCTAATATATCAAAACAAGAAAGTCAAAACTGAAAGGTTTGTCTTGCAACTATCCTAACTTCCTCTAAAAAAAAGGACAAAAAGCATAAGGTAATAACAAAATTCAGAGGTCACAAAGTGAACAAACACGTGATATTGTTGTGAAACGAGGGGGGAATCATAACAATTTCACATTTTTACAATAACCAGCTCGTATCTCATTAATTCAATTAGCCAACTTGATTATTTAATCTAATAGTAGAAATACCCATCAGGTTCCATAAATGGCACTCTCCAATAATTCATGTTAAAGCTATGGCAGCCTCCTGGTGCCGAGGAAGCTAAGGATGTGGGGAAATCTTGAGGTTAAACCCTATCAAAGGGGGAAAAAACAAGAAGGAAAACTGGAAGGAAAACATGGGCACACGCGCACAGAAAGTTATTAACAGCATGCTGTAGCTTACACACTGTTGCAGGAAGCTCGTCGACAGGGCTCTTGGCGCTAGGCCATGTATTTAACCTTGCAACTTTCAATCTTTCATGTAGCTTCATTACAATTATGCTGTATGAGCTATGCAGCTGTAATTCAGACTGCAGATAAATCAGACAAGGACAGCCCTAATTTTGCATAAGCTACTGCTTAGGGTTCATTATTCCTTGAATGATTAGAATTGAATGATTTAGCATTCATCAAGTCCCAATATAATAGGGCTTTAAGTAAAGAGGGCATAGGCATCTCATCCTCACTATTTGGTTGCCGAACAAACAAAAACCTCAAGATATTAAAACAAAGATTGAGGGATTGCTTAATGATGACAATGATGAGGATGTTGCATCTGAAAAAAGCAATTATTTTAGATATCATATAAAGATTGAGTTAAACATTGAAGTTATTTATTATTTAAATACTTCATAATGTGATTTATAGATTTTTGTGTGTGTGGTTTTCTATATATCAGTCATTATGAATAATGTCATTCTTTACATCAACATGCGCTAGAACTATGCATCATAGCAGTTTTGAGCCCTTTGCGCTATAAGTTCGTTATGCTGTAAAAATGACTACGCGCGCGCACAAATGGAAAAACGCCCTCAAGTACCATTTGGCATGTGGATAACTAATTCCCCAAGTATTTGTAAAACCTATTTGCAAAACCTATTCATATTCTACGTGCACGCAGATGATAAACCCAGTTACATTTTATATGGTACACACACATCTCTTGATAAATTTTCTCATATATGACATTTCAAGTACTTGCAAAATTAAGCTTTAAGCTTTACACTAACCAATATCACCTCACGGCTTTCACTAAAACACTGGGAAAACAGAAAAAAAAGTACAATCTTTGAGGAAAATAAATCTAATCCATTAATGTTGATTCTTGATTGGAACAAAACGTATAATCAATTAAGAGTATATATCCAATAACTTCATGTAGTTTGACTAACTGCATTTTTCGCCTAGATTTAAAATGCGTCACGCAGTCTCCACTTCATGTGCTTCGGTAGATAACTGCCTTCAGCTATTTTCCTCAAGAAGAGCTAATTACAAATGATAAAGGGCAAGCAAAACCGACTACAAAAGGGCCACGGGCATAAATCAACAAAATATTACGATACCCTTTAACCAAAATTAACTCAATATTGAGTGGTGAAAGAAGTCACGATGGAAGACAAACCAGAGACGAAGAGGTTGGGGCTGGGCTCGGCCATCTCTCGAGCAGGAGCCGTCGCCGAGGGCGGTGGAGGAATGAAGGTTGAGGTTGGGGTGGTTGAGAACAGCCGCCTTAGACCGCGAGGCGCCGCTACTGCCGCTCTCATCGCCGCCATGTCCTCGGGTTTAAAGAAAATTGAGCTAAAACCCTGCGAGAGACAGAAAAATATTTCCAGTGTGAGCTCGAGGGAGATAGGGAGAGACATGGTGCGTGGGCCTTAAAGCAAATAGCGCCAAGTTTATATTTCTTATTTACCAAAATGGCCCTTCTTTTTGACATAGTTACCGAGAACTTTGAAAAATGAATTCTCTAAAAAAAAATTGAGAACATGACAATAAAATTTTATTAAATTATATAAATAATAATTATATATTAGAATATTATAATTTTTTTAAATTATTTGAATATTTTTTTAATATTAATGATTTTAAGTTAAATGATTAAATTATTTTTTATTTAAAATAAAAAATAATGTATGTTCTTATTCAATTTTTATGATTTATAAAATAAAAGATATAATTGCTTAAATAAAAATTGTAATTAACTTTTTTTAATTATTTTTAAAACTTAAATTTTAATTATAGAAGAAATATCATGTAAAAATTTTTGATTTATAGAGCAATTTTTATAATTTACATAATAAAAATTGTGATTATTTAAATAAAAATTATAGTTAAAATTTTTTATTTTTAAATTTATTTATAAATCATTAAAAAAATTTAATATAAAAATTTATAATATTGTGTTCAATTTTTATGATTCACAGTATAAAGATAGTTATTATTTAAAAAATTATAATTAAAAAATGAAATTAGACTTATTATTTTTTTTTAAATTGAGAATTTAGTTATTTAATCAAAATATTAATATCAGAAAGGTACTTAAAAATTAAAAAAAATTATAACATTTTAAAATTTTTTATTATTATTTATATATTTTGGTAAAATTTTATTATTATTTTTTTTTACAAAATTTACAACTAACCTAAGTACCTAAGCATTTCTCAAAAGAAAGAGAGACATCTACACACGCACACATATTAATGCTATACTCAAATGTGGAGAACACGCTGCTAGTGACAAAATAAAAAGATGGTATTTTGATCCTAAATAAAAAAGGAAAATGCTAGCTAAAAAAAAAAGGAAAATGTCAATTCCAAAAATTAGAAAAATGATTAAGGATCTCAGCCATTTATTTGCTGATATTTAAAAAAATGTTTATATTCATCAATAAATGAAAATTTTTGTAGAAAAACTTATATATTTAATTTTAAATATTTAATGTGATTACTTTCAGTTAAATCAAGACATATGATTAATGCATGTAATGCTTTCTTTTGATGATTAATAAAATGAGTTTTTTTTTGCAATTTTTTTTAGATTTGTTACATATTTTTTTATATTTTCAATTTATATATATTACTAGTTTTTTTAAACTTAGTTTAAAGTATTTTTAAATTAAAAAATTTAATTAATTTTCTTAAATGGAATTCACCATTCACAATACCGAATGAACCCCTCTTAACGACAGCCGTTGGTTTCTCAAACTTGTGCCAACCGGAAATGCTCTCATTCCGCAGTCCCATGATTTAGAGTTCCCCACGTTCTAGCCGATCAACGCACCACGCAACAAACAACTTGGCTTTCTTCCTGCCCTCTTAGGTTCGAAATGGATTGGGATTCGATTGTCACTGACAAAAACTAAAACTAACGACTCCTTGAAGTATCAAGATAGACTGGTACTTCTGGTGATTCCCCATGAAGCGTGGATACCAGGAATTTCCTCCTACCTCTTCCGGGCCACCTCAATCCAAAACTAAATATAACCCAGAAGGTAACAGTGATATTGAAAGGTAGTTCCATAATATATATATATATATATGGAGTCCCCGGTTTTGACTCTTCAGGCTTCTTTAGCTTGCAAATAAACCAATGACAAGGCAGAATTTCAGTCGAAGAATGGGGGCAAGGGGAAAATTGTGGGCTTTTGCATTTGATTATTGTCTATTTGTCTTGGTCTGGAATACTGTTTTAAGTTAATTCAATTGATAATATAATGTTCATTCTTGTCAAACTAACTCTGCTCTAGTAGGTTCTAGGCTTCTAGCTAGTAGTGGCTCAGTAGAATTCATTGGGGGTGATGGAAAAAGCACTAGCTCTACTTCTTAAGTGTATAATTAAGAATCCCAAGTTTCAATTCTCCATCTTTCTTTCCCTTTTCCATGCTTTTCTTCTAGAAACTCTGTAATACTCCGCTCCAGCAAGCAAAAGATGTGTAAAATTCAATTGTTGGATGTAATGGAAAAAGCACTAGCTCTACTTCCTAGCCGTGTATAGTGGAGCATCCCAAGTTTCAAATTTCTAATTCATTCCTTCCTTTATCCTTGCTTTGCCTGTAACCTTCCTTTATCCTTGCTTTGCCTGTAGAGAGTTGTAATTATCAAGTTTATCTTCTAGTTAAATTGTGTGTTTAGGTGATTCACAGTTTCTGGAGGATGAAAGCACGAAAGATTTTGTTCAGAAAGTAGCAGAGCATTACAGTTCAAGATCCAATCGGACTTTAGAAGAGCGGGAGGCTAGCCCAATAATTCATTTGAAGAAACTCAACAATTGGGTATATACTGCATTTTGTAACCATTAATTTATTATCATCAAAATATTTACAATAGTCTTGTGATTTCTGTATGTATTCTTTTGTCCTTAAACAGATTAAAAGTGTCTTAATTCAGCTTTATGCTCGTCGCGGGGATGCAGTCCTTGACCTGGCTTGTGGCAAGGTGTTAATGATTTCCAATGCCAAAATTCATCATCAATTCCTTTGATGAGCATCTTTATTTCTTTCTTTTAATGTTTTTCAGGGTGGCGATCTTATTAAATGGAACAAGGCGAAAATTGGTTATTATGTTGGCATTGACATTGCTGAAGGATCGGTAAGTGTTACAATTTGCCGAGATTCTTTTATCTTTTCACTGGTTTGTCTTGCCAGATTTTTTCTTGACATATTCCTCAAATCACTCTAAAAGGTATTTGACTGAGGTGCTTTAAACTAGAGTCACCAAGACATTCTAGCAATGACATCTTTAAATTTATCTGGACAGGATTTATCATGTTTACCTCTCAATGCTGACCTCACTTTCAACAAATTTGCATTTACGAAGCTTTGACTATGTCTCCCAGATAATATAATTTTCTTCGTGAGTGCATTCATATTGCTTTGCTTTTGCCATTTATGTACTTACAGGATATAAAACCTTGTCACTAGTCAGCATCTCTTTTAGAATGATGATGATTTCATGCAAATGTCATCGCTCTAACCAGTGATAGTGAAACAACCATCATAACCTTCATTTTATTTTTGGTGATATGTTTCTAAGATGTTACCACTCAAGTCCTTGCTCTTATGCAGCCAAAGTTTACGTACCTAATTGCATCAAACTGTTTGCAATTCTTCCATGTTGATAGTCCTCTGCACCAGCTCACTGAAATAACAAAATCTGTCCAGATTGAAGATTGTCGTATACGATACAATGGTGATGCTGACCATCATCAACAACGTAAAAAGTTCACATTTCCTGCCCGCCTCATATGTGGAGATTGTTATGAGGTAATTATTATTTGTACTTGTTTATCTTTTAACTATGTTTCTTCCTTTTGCTTTATTCTCGGCAACTTTGTCATGTTATGAAAATAAAACCTTCACTTCTTAAATATTTAAATAACTCTTATTTAGCTTTAAATATCAACTCAGGTATTCTTACCGTTAGAAAAATTGAAGCCGAACATTTGGATACTTATTTTATAATTACATTAATAAAAAAATATCTCAATTAGGGCTGGAATACGAGCAATTGCTTTGATGGTAATAACAGATATATAGAGAGATTGATCTTACCAAAATAACAGATACATATATTTTTTTGGGTCCAATTTTATAGTTTAATTTTTTTTTTTTTACATATTTTGTACATGTGTTCTTCAACTTTTATTGCAATTTTTGTTTTTTTCCCCTTAATTTGAAATCAAGTTTCCTTGTTCTATAATTTGTGGTTTCAGGTTCACTTGGATAAAGTTCTTGCAAATGATGCACCTTTTGATGTTTGCAGTTGCCAGGTGAATGATGCACTCCTATGTTAACATAAATCATTTGAATATTCATTTACAAATAGAATGTATTCAATATGAATGTAATACTTTTATTTGGTTTCTAACTTTTATTCTTGCCTTCTTGTTTTTGCCTCTTAAGTGATTTGTGCTTATCATGAAATTCAATATCTTGGTTTTGTCCTCTTAATGTAAAAACGAATGTTGTAAAGATGTCATTTTGTGGTATTTTTACTGTATATCCTGGATGCTTGCTGCTTGCTCACGTGCCTAAACTAGACCGCCATACCATTTCATTACCTTTTCTCGCTTTGTGATATTTATAGTGATCGTCTAAGTGCTGCTAGGTTACAAATCTGTACTTTTGAATTCTGCAGTTTGCTTTGCATTACTCATGGTCCACAGAGGCCCGTGCTCGGCGAGCCTTGGCTAATATATCAGCTTTACTTCGTCCAGGAGGCATTTTCATTGGAATAATGCCAGATGCCAATGTGATTATCAAAAAGCTCAGAGAAGGTTTTTAGTCCACCTACAATTTTAATTTCGTTGTCATAAATCATACCAAATTAATCTCTGGTCATTAAGGTTTTCAGGGAATAAAGTGTTCCTTATATGGATGAGGAAATTATTTAATTTACTATAACCATAGCATATGCAGGAGCTGATCTTGTTTTATGATATATTTCACATTAGCAGGAGGTCTTTTAAACTTTATATGTTCAAATTATTTTGTACCATTTTGTATGACACATTCAGGTGAAATTTATCTTTTTATTTATAAGCTTACCTTTCTTGTCTTTAAAGTCAGCATGCTTTGTGAAAATCCTTATGCATTTTGCATTAGGGTACTCTGGCTTTGTCATGAACTTTTTCTATCCTTGCTACAATGTTGTGCTGTGGTTGCTCAACACATGATTGTTTGTGGGAATATATATCTCTGATGCACAGAGGGATTGATTAGCTTTTTTTGCAGTTAAGTCCTTTTGGTGTCTTTTCTTCTTTCTTTGTTTTGTTTTGGAGGGTTTCTTATGCTCTCTTTCTCTTATAACTCCTCTCTCTAATAAGTTTCCTTATTTTGACCAAAAAAACAGGACAGAAAATGCTGTTGCATGGTAGTTGTTTCATTTCTTTGAAGGGGAAAAAAGACTCCAATGAATATGTTTATCTTGTTTGACATGGTAGAACATTTCTTTAATTCCTCATTGAAGAATCTATATTCACTGTGAAATATGCAGCTGAAGGATTGGCTTTTGGCAATAGTGTCTACTGGGTGCATTTTGATGAAGAATTTTCAGATAAGGTGACTTTATTGTCTTTATCCTGTAGCTTCCTTTTCCCTTTTTTCCTTTGGGTAAAGGAACTTCTAATATAGGGAATAACTTCCTGTATTTTGCTGGACTGTATGTCTAATCTGACATGCTTCGTGTACTTCAGAAATTCAAATCTTCTAGCCCTTTTGGCATAAAGTACAAGTTCCATCTAGAGGTATCATACATGTTACATCCCTTTTTTTGATTCTCAATTAAGAGTTTGTCTTAGAATATGGGGATGATCTGATATTTCCATGTCAAAGTACATTGTTAGATGAGTGACTTGGTCATAGCAAGTGAACAATGCCCATATAAAGAAAGAACCTTTGTGTGTAATAATTGTGAACAGAGCTGTTAGTTGTACTTGTTTCAGGATGCAGTTGATTGCCCTGAATGGATTGTTCCCTTCCCCGTATTCAAGTCATTAGCTGAAGAGGTATTGCTTTCTGCAATAGTTCTAGATATAACCAGCAAGGATTGGATTGTATAAGCTTGAGCAATCTGAATAATTATTCATTTTTGTCCTTAACAGTTGATTTTGAGCTTGTCTTTTCAAAGAACTCGCATGAATTTGTGCACGAGTTTATGAAAAAACCAGAATTTGTGGAGCTCATGCGACGGCTCGGTGCCTTGGGTGTTGGCAACCGAGATCAGAGTAAGCCTTTTTTTCCATCTTTTTCTGGCTCTTCATTTTATCTTATATATTTTTCAAAAAACTTGTCCTGCTTTTCCAACTATCATGAATTTAAAACCTATACCTTTTTTTCCTTTTGTATATCAGGCACACTCTCACCAAATGAATGGGAAGTGGCATATTTATACCTTACATTTGTGTTGAGAAAGGTCAGCAGAAAACAATAAGTAGCCTGTTTATCATGATAATCCTGCCATTGTCAAATGTCAATATAGTGAAGGGAAAAAAATTGTTCATAAGTAGTTAATATGGTTTTTTAATTTGATATTCTAGCGAGGCCAACCAGACCAAACTTGGGCAAGTGGCAGTAGAAGAGACAGAGGGTTGATGCATATCTCAAAGGAAGACATAATGCATGTTAGGACCCACCATTAACATAAATAAATTGAACAATGATTGGATTTTCAACGAAGATAATGAATCAACACAGGTGAGGGAATGGTCTGCCCGGCATTGTAGAATACAGATCAATTCACATGTCAACTTTTAAGCTCTCGCCAATTATTTACAAAGCATTTCACTCGTTGAATTTTGTAGTTCACAATATTGGATATTACTTTCACTGAAGCAAAGTGTTCTCATCAGGATGAGAAAAATCATAATTGAATAATGACTAAGAGGGATACGAAAACATAAAAGAACTATGACAGATTAACAGTTTTCTTTGTATTACTTTTGATAGAATATGACAAATATTACTTTAGGAGGAAATAATTTATTATTTCTTATTGCCTTTCATTAGTTTATTGGTTTTTTGTTTTTCATTTAACTTTTGTAAGTTTCCTTATTGTGAAGGAAACCAAGCAGCAAGTGGATTCTTATTTTATTAACTTTTGTAAGTTTCCTTCTTGTGAAGGAAACTAGGCAGCAAGTGGATGTTTCCTTGTTAGGAAGGAAACCTCATATGCTTATAAATAGCATGACTTATATTCAGGAAGGGAGGAATGTTTGAAACATTATGATTTCTGAAAGCTCTCTCTCTCAGCTCTACATCTCTCTTCTGTTCTATACAATCATCTTCTCTTTTCACCTTATCTGTTCTCACTTCCCCTCTCTGTTTCTGTTTCTTCTCCCTAATTCTATTCTGTTCAAATCAGTGTGAGCGTGAGTGTTTGTGTTTTACATCACTTTCTTGCAACACACTAACACTAAACTTAATGTCGTGGGATAGATAAATTGACATGACAGCTTTCTATCATCAATCCTTTTGAAAGTGTACCAAAGTTAAATGTTGTGGTTTTGGTTGTTCATAAGCTGGCCAAAAGTTAAAGAACAAAAAGAGGAGGGTGGGGGTGACATCATGATGTGCAAGTTGCCAATATGGTATGGTATCAGTACGTTTTGAGTACTGAAAAAGTTGTTAATTGCATAGAAAATCCCTCGAATGAATATGAAAAAAAAAAACCCTTAAATTCTTTTAAATTTTGAAGAGATATCTACCAATGGCAATGTACGAGAGGTGAAAAACTAAAAAGTGAGATCGAATGCTAACTTGTTTATTGATTCTATCTTCTTCTATATGGTGTGGGTTGTGACTCATTTAGTAAATTTTGAGTATTTTAGAAGGAACTAGGAAGGGCATTATAAAATACAGATAGATAGAAGTCAATTTTCACATGTAGCAAGTTGAGGTTTCTTATATGATTCTCTGATTATTTGCTACTAAGCCTCTTGTCTTCATTACACTTTTCAATTCTTTTAGCCGTTATGCTGTACATCTGCATAGCATTGTATCTTCTTATTTTTCGCATCTTTCTTTCTTCTTCTTTTTGCAGCTATTGTTGCAACTGATTTTGATATTGAGATTCCAATTGGATTCTGTTTCATAAAAAACAGTGTATATAGTTTACGCACGATAGATAACTGATATATGACCTCAATAGTGGAAAATACATATTCACGTACGCCCACAAGTTCCAGGAAAAGCAAAATTCAAGACACAATTTACATAATATTAATACTTAATCAGTTGGATAAGAGGCATCCATAGCAATACCACATAATCCCTCTTTGGCAGTTATATTTCTCTTCATCCTCATATACCCTTGCTCACCCCATTCAGTTCCCCATGAGTTCTTTAGTAGCCAATATTCAATCCCATTGTCAGCAAGGCCATAACCAACAACTGCTACACACCAAGGTCTAACTCTGTACCACAATCTCCAGTGAAAACTCCACTAGAGTAAAATTGGAAAGAAGATTCTCCAGCATCAATGGCGGCTGACACAGGTTGGCCAGCGACAGCCTTCAATAGTGCCTCTTCATTATTGGCAGGTACATTCTCATAGCCCTTAATCTTGGCTACATGAGAGGCTTCCTTTTTAGTTTCACAAGTGGCTTCAACCCCCTTGTAGGGGTAGTTTGCCTCACTTGTAATTCCTCCATTTTTTATGATAAATTCAAAGCCATCTTCTATTGAACCTCCCACACAACCTTCGCCAATAACTTTATCACAGTCTATCACCTCCTGCACTGAGAGGGACACTAGTTTTCCTGTAGTTATTTGGTGAATTCCCTCAGTTGCTGCTACACTTGAAAATGCCCAACCACCTGGTTTTGTGCAGGCCAAAGTAATATAACTACACAAGCATTAAACCAATAATTCATAGTGTCAAAATGAAAAACAGACAAAAACACGTGGCCAAACATGACACAGGCACTAACTTACTGAAGAAATGAACGAAGTAAGGGTAAGACCATCTACTGTTGTGTGTTGTTCATCTTACCACATAAGCCTTGTGCCTTGACTGGAGTGACAGCACCTTTTTTCCTCCAGTCCACAGAAGCAGGAACATGAGTAACATTCTTGTAACTAAATGATGTTTCACTCATGGTCCTCAGCCCTTGGGACCTCTTGTAGCCGTTATGGGCAGCTTAAATTCTTCATTGGTTTGATCAGCAAATTGATTAATGCTAAGCTGGTAGGGTTTGTTCCCAGCAGCATTGAAAGACTCGATAAACTCCAAGCTGTTCTTGAATATCAGAAGCGTTTCCGCTTCTCTTCAGCATCCATGTAGACCTTACCATATCTTGCAATCCATTGTTCATATTTTTCTGATAAGGATGCCTCTTGGAGGGTCCGGGACATTACTTTAGACATCCAAACTGCAAGAATAAAAAACAGAGAAAGAATATAGTGATTTTGGCCTTCGGATTTCATCTGTTTGCGTAACAATAGTTCAGCCTTGTTTGGGATGTACTGGAGATAATGTGAATTTGTGTGGAAAAGGCTAATTGTTTTTATAGAGATGATATGCTCTTCTGAGGAAATATTTTAATTTGAATAATCAACGGATTGGTTTATCACGGCAAATATTTTTGATTGAGAAGGACATGTTCTGTTCCGTTGAAGATGATTTGCTTAATTTAAGGGCAGCAACAGTAAATATATAAATTATTCTTTTTCCACTTGTTTTTATTAGAAGAGGGGCTCTTGTAAAAAGTGTTCCAAATTACACGAGATCCTATAGTTTAAATTTTCTTAGTTTTGAATATGCCAACAATCTACTTAGGAAAGTTAAGCACCCGTCCCAAAGTTTCCATACAGTGACAAATATTCATAGTGCAAAGCTTATCTCCTAAGCTCCTTGACATTTCAGTATTCTTTGTGTTGGACATAAAGATGATGTGAAATCAATTTTCGTTTTCAGCCAACGAAGATTATTGCAGTGAGAGAGAGAGAGAGAGAGAGGAGGGGGGGGGAGGATGTGTATATAAAGAGACAAAGTTGGTTGGGTACACACTTCAAGTCTTTCATTTAAGTTGGTCAGCAAATTGTTTTATGCATCATGAGCCTATCTCTTTCTGAAATTAGTTTTAAACTTCAAAGAATAAAATGAAATAAAGAAGCCATAATCCATGAACTCAAAAGTAAGTCGGGCCCAGGGCATGGGAGTGAGGTTTGCAAGTTCAGATGGTGAAAGTCAAACTATGAAATGCTTTATTCCATGGCTGTCATTGTTGTTTTCTAAAGTTTGTTGTATGGAAAAGTTAAAAAAGAGTTCAAGGCTGTGCGCATTGAAGACATGAAAGGCTCGAAAGTGCAAAGGATAATGCTAGACACGTCATTCAGGTTCAAGAATGTTACTATTATGTTTAAGGAGAATGACAATTAAGAATTTCATGAAAAAGTTAATATCAAATTAAGATTCCATCACAATTTAAGCTTTCAAGTTCAATATTCACTTCCTTCAGTTACCCATAGGTATTGGAGGCAAATTATGTTTTTGAATTCAATATTAAAGGCGATCATATTCAAGACATTATTTGGCATTAAATTAAGTTTTTCTTTTAACGAGAATTTAAATTTTGGTTCACCACGTTGCAAGAGAACAGTGCTAGATTTAACTTCTATTATTTGGTATTCATTTTTTTTAGCACTGAAGATCTTTACATAAAAAAAACAAATTGGATTCAGCTTTTTTATGAGATTTTTAGTGATCATTCTCCTCCACACCACCACCAAAGGGCCAAAGGGGAACATCGCAACATAAAGCTTCGTTCCCACATTATTCATTATGCATTTTCATGCCTTGGCCAGAAGCCCCCACCAACTTCTTAATTGAAATGTTGCCCCAAATTTTGAGCGTAATAGTAATTTCATTTAATCGTAATGGAATCCACATGCATAGAATTGGGATTCTTTATTTTACCCTCTCTTTCTACTTGAGGCGATCCATTTTTCCCTGCTAACCTGAAGAAGGCAATCCATCATTTCTAAATTCCTTCGATAAAAACGATGCTTCTCAGGTATTTAAATCTTTATGTCAATCAAGCTTGATAGTACACTTGCGATTCTAAAGATGCGCAGATTGATAGGATTCTCTTGATTATTTCTCCAAACTCATCACCGTCCCTGGCACTGCATGTTACTATAGCCAACCCTTGACCAAATTATTTGACAACTAACATGATTCAGCTACCAGAGGTAACTACCAAGTTCGCATCAGCATGCAGGCGCGGATCGGAGAAAATGTCTAAATGACACCCAGAAAAGTGTGCTGGAAGAGATTCTGCTATTCCCAGTCCGAAGATACATATATTAGAGAGTTCTCGAAAAAGGAAAGAAATTGCAAGTTCCTTACCTAACCAACCTTTTTCTTTTTTTTATTTTATTTTGGAATGAAACTTGAAACTATATCACTAACTCAAAAGGAGTACAAAGAACAGAAAACTACATCTAAAATCTCTCATCAACTACCCCCATCATAGGAATGGTGGTTTTTGATCAAAGACGTACAAATCATTATCATAAGAATGACAAGACCTAGCTAAATTATAAGCAATACAATCAGCATCCCTAATCAACCTTCCAAAACGATTCTTTTCCTCCTCTATGGTGCTGCATCGGACTAAAGTCAGAAACGGACAGAGAATTTTGGCAAATGGGGAGGGCTACAGGAGAAATAAACAGTTAAAAGATGAAACTGGTTTCGAACCAAGATATTGTCATAAGCAAGAGGATAAAACAAGGACACAACATTGACTATGATTATGTAAGAAGAAGCAAGCGGTACTAACATCACCGAGGCCCTTAATATTTGGTGGACTCTGGCAACCCCTACCTATATAGACACGATTCATTTTATGCTCCTAGCTTTCTGGAATCTGATCAAAAACAATGTACAGATGCATGGAATAGTTTTCTATAACTAAAGTGGTAGACAGAAGCACTGATTTCCAGGTAACGCTGAGCAGCCAGTACTTGCATACATCTTCATATAAGGAGGGACTCTGAAGAATATTAGGCCATAACCTTTAGTTATATTGATCAACGATAGGCCATCCTTTCATTACATTTTGATTACTCGAATAGCTGACTCCTTCAATGTCTTTTTACACCTATGTTCCAGCCAAATGAGGGAAGCTGAGACCAATCTGCCGCCTAATATGCTCTGGGATGAGCCTATTTATCACTTCAGGCGATTCTCCAGACAGCTGCAATTAGAATACCTCAATTCATGTTCATCGCAGTAAAGAAACTTGTTCGAGTATGTTACATTCAAGGGCAAGCTATAGTTAGTGATAAGAGAAACTTTACGTTGAAAAGACATTCACAAAGATGCATTATAAGGATGAATGGTAAACATGCAATTGCCTTGCATGTGTCACACGTAATAAAAGGAAATCAGCTACATACTTCCTGTTTGAAATTGAAAAGTGGCGGCAGAGGACGACCATTGGGTAGTTGGGCATTGGGCTCCCGGAGCTCATCAAAGAAAGGATGCGCACATGCTTGCAGCTGAAACAACAAAAACCATCACTGAGATTTGAGAATCAAGCGAATTTTAGAAGAGTAATTTAAATCAAAAGACGTGCCACGACCTGTTTGGATCTTTTATCTTTTACTTCTTTTTTTTTTTAATTTTTTCGCTTTTCCCCTTGAGAAGGGGAGGGAATAGTATGGGTTGTCCTACTCACCGCAGTGTAGCGAAGACTTGGCGAATATTGGAGAAGCCTTGATATAAGGTCGATTGCTTCTGGAGGCATTCGCTTGTGGAAAACCTGAACCATGGAAATAGCAATTAGCGCAATGCACCAAACACCAAAAACAAAGGAAGAAGAAGTTCCAAGAATATATCTTGCTTTTAACAGCCAATGTATGTCATGCATCATGTTAATCCTCAGAATCTGTAGGAGATAGTTTCACTTTATAAATTGATTTCACATTCAGTTTGACAGCTTCCCCCCCCCCCCCTCTTCATCTGCATTTTGAAAACCGCATTTCCAGCGTCGCATATCAAAAGAAAAATGGATGATCAAATAGCAAATGCCTTTACCTTGTGCCACGGATGAGCTTTAACCTGAGGGAATCTAAAATCTGTATAATTAGGGTTCATGCAACGAATTTCTTCTCGAGTTGGAGTGCCAAGAACCTACAAGAAGACACCCAAATAATGAATCACTCTAAAACTAGACCCACCCAACCATGGTGTCATCAACATAGAGACCAGGCTACCTTGATGATTTCAACAAGTTGGTCCACCTGATTTTCTCCTGGAAATAATGGCTAAAGAAACATTCAAAACTATCAGAAGTCAAATCAATATAACCAAAAATTCCAAATATGAAAAAATAAAAAATAAAAGGGAAAACAGCTCTTGAGTATAATATTACTAACCTGACCGAGAAGAAGCTCAGCAAGGACACAACCAGCTGACCAAATATCAATAGAAGTTGTGTATTCAGTTGCCCCAAATATTAGTTCTGGAGCTCGATAGTAACGTGAACATATGTATGAGATGTTTGATTCACCCTCGACCTGGTATTAGTTACAATTGATTAAATGAAATAAAATAATATAAAATATAAAACTATAGCAACCATACAATCCACAAGCCACGAACAGAACAACTCATTTCTCATACTTGTGCAATGTACAAGGGCCCCACCTAATTTATACACAACACAGCAATTTCATCATGTTGGTAAATGATTAAAGTACCAACAAGAATGCAAAAGTGATCCTGGCCGATAACCTTTCCCTCATTTACTGTTCTTATGACACGGAAAAAATGTCGGCTCGAATGTTCAGCCAAAAAAAAAAATGTAGGGTCAAGTTTTGTAGCAGCATTCACATTTCAATGGCCTTTTGCTCACAGGTCATCATCACATATTCACAGACATACTTAATTACAACTGCACAAACATACAAAGGTTAAAAGAGCTATGGTGACTGAGCAGCATATAAGATTTTATAACCTACCAGAACTTTTGCACTCCCAAAATCGCAAAGCTTAACTTGATGAGTGAGAGGATCAACCTACAAGCAGATATGCGATACATTTAGAATAACTGTGAGGGGAGCATCAAGGAGGTACATCTCAGAGATACATTTAGAATAACTGTGAGGGGAGCATCAAGGAGGTACATCTCAGAAATAACATACCAAAACATTTTGAGGTTTCACATCTCTATGGCAAACTCCTGGTACTGTATGGATGTATGCTAGTCCCCTAAAGATCTGAGCATCGTGTGCCAATTTTTATAAGAACAAGTATGAGCAATAAAAATAATTAAAAATAGACAGGTAACAAGGAAGAGTTCATACTTGATATGTATAGAGTTTCACATAGATGAGAGGCATCCTTTGGTTCATACTAGTATAGTGTTTTAGAACTCGGTACAGTGTTTCAGGGACGTATTCCATAACCAAATTGAGAAAAAGTTCATCTCTGCTTGTTGTAGAGAAGAAACAGTGCTTCAGGGAAATGACATTTGGGTGATCCATCAAGCGCATTAACTGCAGCTCACGGTTCTTGTACCGCCTGTCCTGCAAGACCTTCTTTATAGCCACAGCTTCCCCAGTCTCCAAACACTTTGCCTTTATTATGGGTCAAGGAGAGCACAAAATGACAGAGAGGAAGCAATATGAGATATTGGACAGCAGAAAAGGCTTATAAGAATAACTGATATCCAGAAATTGATCTACACAAACCTGGAAAACAATTCCAAATGAACCAGTGCCAACAATGCGTTCTGCCATGTAACTTATGGTCTACAAACGCATCAGAGGAGATCTTAGTACATATGTTATGAAGAAATGAAAAGGAAAAAAGAATCATGGTTTTTAAAAAAAAAAAGAATAGGAAAAAAAGGAAAATGTCAATCCACAAATATTATCATCAATTTTCAACTTTATCGAACTATTACCACGATATATCAATTCCTTCACAACTTTCAAGACCCAAAAATGAGGAACAAGTGATAAATCGTTGAAGGGAGAGGGGAAACAATTAGTACCGTACTACTGGAAATATTCTTGAACTTAAAGACTAACGTATTAACTTTAGATCCCCCCACTTGCAAAAGTAGTTCAGCCCATTCAAATAAGGAACTGAATAATTATTTAAAATAGGAATTATTAGGTCCAATCATTCATGCAATTGAAACAGACAAGTCGAGGATCGGCGATATATTTATTTCAAAAAATTGCGAGGTTCCGAACACATCCCACCTGCTTAGGTTCACCATTTTTCCCTCCAATTGTGGTGGAGATTATGTGGCCAGTGACTGCATCATTCCCCTCAAGGACTGTAGCTGACATTTCCTGAAATTTATAGCAAGAAATGGATTTTTTTTATTATTTTTGGTATAGCAATTCTCCAAATATAGAATTTAGTTTGCAAGATTCTTCTTGTTACAATGTTTATGAGAACCCATTTCAGTTTAGCTAACTGTTACATTTTACTCCTAGTTTCTCTGAAACAATCAATTTGGTTATTTCATTTGGCCAAAAAAAACATTCTCTTGATATGATATATAATGTGCGTAGTATGTGCCATAGATTTGGCATGGCATAGCCACCAATGGACATGCATAAACTCAGCTAACTGGTAGTCAATATTTTCAGCTCCTGCTGAATTGCTGCATGATTAACGTGAGATGCTGCAAAGAAACTTGGAGCAATATCTTGCCCAAAAAGAAAAAACAACAACAACAACAACAACAACAAAATAATAAGATAGAGTATTTAATCCTTGATCATAACTGAAGAAGCTTTGTATGATCAAATCAATGCTCAAGAATTAACGTTAGCTATTAGAATCAAATGAATACCAGAAAAATTCAGGCAGAATTCAGAAGACGAAGTTGAGGAAAGGGAAAGTATATAGATCACAAAGGGTGTATACAATGATAAATCTAAATCAGGTGTCAACAGGTCACAAGAAAGCATCACATACCAAAGAAATGCTTTCATATCAACTACGACAACAAACAGAAAGAATCTGAGGACATCGATTCGCTTAAGCAAGCTAAAACATTCTGAGGAACAATCCACGACAACGGTAAGAAACGGAAAGGGCACAAAAAGGTAGACCAATACCAAACAATTTGACAGGAGAGTGCTCTTACGGAAAACGTGAAAGTGAAGTAACAGGAGAGCAGACGGCAATATAAGGGTAGCATATTTAAGATTTTAGAAAAGGAACTGAAGATCTAACTGTAATTATACCGTATGATAGACAAGATATACAGAGCCAGCCCTAAAACAAAAAAATCACGGCAGAATTAAGGTTGAGAGAAAGAAAGCTGACTGAAAATTAACAAAAAGCTAAATTATCATACTCGAAAGACGGTAAAGAATTTTCTGGAAGAGGAAGAAGTAGGCGATTCGAGATTCAGGAACACATCGCCTCAAGGCTAAGACGGCACTACTCTCAGCTCAATATATTCTAAATAGTAAGTACCTAGTCAGAATCTCTCCTCCTCTATTATTTGTCAAGGGAAGAGAGCGTGAATAAATGTACAGGAATCTGCATTTTGCGCTCCTTTTGATTCCCTTCTTTTTCATCAGGACCATCAAACTAAAAGGCGCGCTAGCTGCATTTTAACAATAAGATCTCGACCTGAAGCATCAACTAAAACATGCCAGATAGAAAGAAAATCCAACCCCAATTTGTCTCTTCTCACAATCTCCTTTGGATAAAAAAATATTAATAATAACCATCACTCTTCAAGGAATCCGTGCAATCAGTCCGATCAGGAATCTCGCCGGCAAAAAGTCCCAGCGAGCTAGCTTTGTTCTCTGAACCAGCTTAAATCACCAATAATCAGTAGATCACTCGAACATCAGCTCATACCGAAGCTAGTTAGTTGCATGTGAGACAGCCAAAGAACCGGCAACCACCAGGGCAGGAAGGTAGAGATAGAGAGTATGACAACATGCGTTTCCATACAATGAGAATAATGCTTTAACATAAGTACCTTGTCATTCTCAGCTTGCGTTGGCAACGGATGTGAGGGTTGGGGAGCTGCCGCAGCCGCCAGCGGTTGGTGCTGGTGCGGCCCCAACGGCATGGAGGACATGAGACTACTGCACAAACACTCTCTTCCCTTCTCCCTCTCCCCCTCTCTCTTTCTCCCTTCTTTCCTCTGCTTCTCTCTCTTACCCTGTCAAATTTTCTCTCTCCTGTGAGTCAGAAGGGAATAGTGTTGTTGAGGGCCAGGCTTGGCTTTAGATTAGAAAGAGAAAAGAGAAAAAGAGTAGACGCACTCGAATGCAAGGAGCGTGGAAAACACGCCTCAATCACAGTGGTCTACCTGTCGCCACCTTTGTAACGACCACTGTAATCTGTGATCTGGTGTGGTTGAGTACGCGGGAAGATACTCTACAGCCTTGCATTGAAAATCAGAGAGAGACAAGGGTCACATGGAACCTCCCTTGAAAGAGCGTATTATTAGTCAGCAAAATTAAATGAACATGAAACAGAGAAAAATTAATTGATGAGTTTAGGAATAACCAAAGCACAACTTCTCTATTGAAAAACAAACAGATTAAACATGTTTTTTTCTACAGGCCAAAAGATTTGTACGTTTGTAGGTCAAAAATAAAAAAAGATTTTTATGTTTGTTTAATTTTTTTTACAAAGATTGTGAAATTTATTTATCTTGATGATCCTTCAATCTAATTATACATTTATCATTTTTCATAGAGTAATAAATAGTGACTCTGAAAGGCTAAGTCCTAATTAATCCAATAACCTTCTTTTGGGCTACACATTATGCTACTGCCAATGCCAATGGAATCTAAATATTTAAAAATAAAATAAAATAAAATGAATTGCACACCAACAACATCGTAGAGAATTGATGGCTGTTATAACAACTTCGTATTAGGATTTGTTTGTATATGAGATAAAAGAGTGAAAAGCCACACTTCCACCGAGTTATTTCGGTGATCATATTTATTAAAATTTGTTTGTATATATATATTAGAAACGAGAAAAATCACATTTCCACCGAGTTACTTGGGGAAACATATTTATTGAAATTTGTTTGTATATGTACGGGTAACGTGAAAACCACATTTTCGGCGAACACGTTACTTTTCATGTTTTTGCCGCATTTCCAAACACAACATTTGTTGGCTTCTTGAAACAAACTAAGAGGATAATTGCATCTCTAGTATAGTTTTGATAAATGTTCATATTAATTTAGTAGAGGTAAATATGTTACGAGTAAATTTGAAGTCTCTTGAAATTCAATGTAAAGTTCAAATGAAGCGGCCAAAGACTTATTACTTTTTGTCTTTCTTTAGTATATTTTTTCAGTATTGATATCATAAGGGAAGTTTTAAAAGAAGGGCTACATGCCCACTTTAATACGACATAAATGAAGGAATGACCTCGTAAGAAATAATATTAAAATAATTACGGTCAAGTTTCTTTATAAAACAAAATTAGAAATTTGATTCGTACTCATGGAAAAAGGGTTCGTTGCCATTTAAAATACATTTGGTAATCATTTAGTTGGTCTCGAGTTTAATACACAGGAATTAATTATTATATTTGACACTAGTTATGGAAACAGATTGAGTAAGCGTGATATGGATTGAAAAAGAAAATTTGAAATGGCATCCACAATGAAAGTTAAGTTTATGAGATTGAAAAAACATGTCGCAAAATAATTTTGGACTGGATATTATCCTGTCGGGGAAAGAAGCTGGGAGATCGTAGGAATAAAAATTGTCAAAAAAGTAAACATTTGGGAGAAAAATGACAGAATAGAAAGGCAAAAGGTGCCTAAGCCTTTGACAAGGTGCGCCTAGGTTGAGACCCCCAAAACCCAAAAGTAATTATTACTTTCCCCTATTGTAAACATAAGTGTCATAAATATTAATTTTTTAGAAAAAATGATAAATAAATATAAAAAAGAGTAAATAATAAATAAATGTAAAAAATATGGTGATTACTTTGAGATTTTAAACACTTATGTGACAGAATTTTGCAGCTCTGACCCAAAGCAAAATAATAATATAAAAAAACATACTCCCCCAATTTCAAAATAAACAGCTTTTAACAGTAATATACATATGAATAAAAATTTTATTCTCATAAAAATATATATTAATTTTTTATCTCTAGTTTCAATTTATGATGAACAAGAAAAATATCATAAATTTATAAACACAATAATATAGGTTAATAAATAAAAAAAATAAAAAAATTATAGATATTAAGTTACTTATATTTTGAATGAAGATTAGTTAAAAGAAAATTTTTGTATTTTGAACCAGAAGAGAGTGGTTGCTAATGCCTAAACTCAAGTTATTAATAATAAAAATAAAATTGTTAATATAAGATGAAACATTGTTGTTAATACAAGTATGTTCCCAATATTGACAACTTCAACAATTAACAACTTCAGTTTAAGTATGATCAAAATAATTGGTTATGAATTCAATTTAATCATGCAATATTAATAATCATGCTTTTTATATTAATAATATTATTTTTGTTATTGATAACCTTAGTTTAGGTTTAAACCATGCGTTTTATTATTTTGTAATGGGTCATTAACATAATTTTACAAAAAAAAAAATAATGATTGACAAGTTCTTGAGACTTCAGAGTAATTGTTATATTTTGTGATACTGTTCTGTGAGTTGGTTATTTATAAGGAATTTTTTTTTCATTTTTTTATTTTTTTATCTCTATTATTTGATAATTTTTCATTCTATTCTCATTAACTTAACAATTTTACCCACATTTTTGTCTCAAATATATATTTTAAGAAAAGTGACATGTATTTTTTAATATAATAATGACAAAAACCCACCTTAGCTGATTTATTCAATTTCCGTGAGTCAGGCAACAAAGTCTTGCATTCATGACAGAAGTAATAATTAAAATGGTGTAATGTGATGGAGGTAAAATGCGTTGTCATAGTGAGATGAAGCATCTTTGGAATTCTCGGGCTTCATTGCTTCATTTTTTGTTTTTGTTTTTGTTTTTGTTTTTGACCTTGAATGCTGCATTGCCTTGCACTTTGTTATTTGCGTCAATTACTCAATTATATATTTGAGAATATGGTTTTCTATTCATAGCAATGCTAGAATAAATTTCAACAACACGTAACATAAGGCCATACTTGTAATTGTTCAACAAAAAATGATCATGTTATTTAGGGTAGCCTAAATAGATGGTCTATCATAGTGTTAAGGTCTTAGAGCTTTAAAAAAGTGTAACTGTCATGAAAATCATGATGTGATTCCTTTAATATAAATCACATTTAGACTCATTTGTAAAATTGCAGTGATAAAAGCATCTAAATTAGTCTATTTGTTAGCTAATTATTTTGTGAAGCCCAATGATTGATAGAGACTTTTTAGATTTCAAGGATTGGATTTGTGAGTGGTATCACTCATTCAATAAGCATCTTATGTAATACAATAATAATTATAATTTAATCAAACAGCTATCAAAAATTTTAATATTAAAAAATTACTAAATCTCAAAATTTTAAAAGGTATAATGTATATAAAAAGTGTTTTGATGATGGAAATTATTTTTAATTTTTGAAAAATATATATCTTAATAATTTCTAAATATTGGTGAAATTTAAGAAGTATAATTGAGATATACTTATTGAGTACGTGAATTCACTAAATCAAGTCCACTCATTTTTTTAATAAAAAATCCTCTTTTTAAGTTTATGAGTGCACCGATGCATGAATTTTGTTTGGGCAACTTTTTTCTTTTATGTCTGCATTTTTTGTGTTAGTTGCCCTTCATGTTAATTCAAAAAATAAAACTAGATATTGGCCAATTTCTCCAAAGTCCTTTCGTATTTTATCCATTAAAATAGTAAAACATCACTTATTCATTTTTTTTTTCACATAAACTAAACTCCTTAAAATCTCCCCTATCTTCTCCTCCCCCTCTCATTATAAAAATCTAATCACTTTTCATTAAAAATGAAGAAATCAAAATCCAACGTCTAAAAAATAAAAAATAATATAAGAGTATATAAAATGTCTAATCAAAATTTTTAGTTATTTTGATAAAATAAACTACTTATAAGTATGCTCAATATAAAAAGTTTAATTCATACTCTTGTAAAGTTTAAAATATGATTTTTCTGAGTCTTTGGAATAAATTATTCCCGAGTCTCATACAATATATTTAATTACATGAATGAATCATGAAATTCATAGAATTACGCACAAATCGTAAGTCCTTAGAGTGTAAATAAATTATCAATACAATTATAAAAATACCCCTTATCCTTTAAGAAAGGAAAGTATCCCTCCACTAAGGGTGTTGGCTTCCCTCCTCGGCACCTCCGCTTAGGAGATTTGAAATGTCTAAATTTAATATTTTAAATTTTAAATTTTTTAAAATAAAAAATTATATAAATTTTCAAAAATTTAATAAATTTTTTTATTTGTCTATACATTCTAGATTTAATATAAATAGTTTATATTTAATATTAAATATTTTATAAATTAAATTTTCTAACATATTTAATATAAAACTTTTTAATAAATTTGTTCACATGTCTGGACAATTTAAATTTAATATAAAAAGTTTTAATAAATTTGTTCACTTACCTGAATAATTCAGATTTAATATAAATGGTTCATATTTAATATTAAATATTTTATAAATTGAGTTTTCAGATATATTTTGAGCAATCTAGGTTCAATATTAAATTTTTTATAATTTTTATAAATTAAATATAAACTATTTATATTAAATCTAAATTATTCAGACTGATAAATAGATTTATTAAAATTCATATAATTTTTTATTTTAAAACATATAAAATAAAAAAATAAAAAAATATTAAATTTAAATCGTTTAAATATAAATTCAGATTTAATAAGAGAGTAGGAGGAGAGGAGAGAAACCGAGTCCTCCACCATGGGCCGTCGTCGGCGATGAAACGGGAAACCAGTGCTGTGGCCCATCGAAAAGCCGACGGCTGGTAAACTACAGTGAGGAATGGTCATGGGGAGATTCGTAATTGTCAGTTTTCCTTAAAAAAAAAAAACATAAAATGCATATCAAGGTTTTCCAATGGGCTTTCACTTTTACGTAATTTTCATTGTGTTGGGCTCTAGTTGGCCCCTTTACCATCTCGCAACATTTGATGAGCTCTCTCAAGTCTCAACTGAACTCTCGCGCGAATATCCATATAGTCATCCAGTTCCGAAAACAAAAACACACTACAATATATCCATATCGTATCTACAATATTTTAAAAATATATACCTTCTAGTAAAAACATAACTAGATATTAAATATATGAAATGATATTTTACTAAACAAATCTTAAAATATTGATTTATCTAATTATTAATGTTCAAATGAATTAATTCGATCATTTTTACAATTAATTAGACGCATCTTTTATTATTTAGGGTCTAGAAGATGAATCATATTTTAATTAATGAATAGCTTTGTGAATGGTGCAGTTTTTATACTTTAGATTGATATTGATGATTATTAAAATTAGAATTATAGTAAAAAGCTTGTTAATATAAAAAATCATTCTAATTAACCGTATAAAAAATAAAAAAATAAAAAAGCAGACACTTGGAAATTGGAATCATTCATTGATTAAAAAAAGAGACCCCCAGCTTACAGTACTTGATGGACTGTGTTATACATAAAATGCATATATGATATATATCCAAGATCCACCTAGTCAAAGCTTTTGACTAATAGTAAGACCTTGTATAATAATCATAGTTGATTAAATAATTAAACCCCTAACCTTAAATACAGCCCTTGATTACTCAATTGCTGTTCTTGACCCAAAAAAAAACCAAAAATCACGGACGGACCAAATCAGTTCACAACCCTACAATTCTTTCTGATCTCACCCCGGGACCCAGTGAGAGGAGTGATACTGCTCATCTTCACCATAGCAGAAGCAAAGTCCCTGAAGAAGAGCGCACTGTTGGAACTGTAGGTCCTAACCAGAGCATCTTGAGAGCCACCATTGAAGAGCACTTGGTCCGAATGGAACAAGCCACGTCGAGCCACGAGGTCCTTATAGTAAGTGTTGTCAAATCTGTTCGGGGTAAAGTCAAGGGGTGCCAATTTGGTGTCCCCACCAGTTCTAGGACATGTGGCCCTTCTCGTGGCTGCAAAACTCCGGTCAATGTTCTTCTCGTTGTAGATGCGGTTCCTGAAGAAACTGCACTGTCCCTGACCTATGCTGTGGGCGCCGGAGAGCACCGTCATCTCCCGCGCGGTCAGACCTTTCGCGGCAAACATGGAGATCAGGGTCGACAGGTCCGACGACGGCCCAGGGATCTCGCTGTTCGCTTTGCTCTGGCTCGCCGTCCTTGCGTCCCTCCGGCCCAGAGGCACTGCCCATGAGGGTCCTCCTAGCTGCAACCCAACGACAAGGCACGATTATTGAGCGACAAAGACGTAATTTTTATAATTAAATTGTACAAAAATCTTATCCGGTTACTTATCTCTTACAAAATTTAAATAACGAACATTAATTTAAATATGCACCGACATTTAATTTATATTAGTCAAATTTATAGATGAAGTGTGACACATGAGAACATTAAATATTATATAAAGTTTTTTTTTGTATGTAAGTAAACAATTACCTTAATTAAATATTTGGGCATATAATTCATGATATGTCAAATTTTATAAGCAAAATAATAAATTGACTAAGAAAAAAAAATATTGAATTCATATAATTATTATATATCATATAAAGTTTCCTTAAAAAAAATTATGTGAATAAGTACAATTTATGGGGGAAAAAAGACCAAGTGATAGAGAAGACACATGCACGAAGGATATATGAGTATGACATATTCTTAAGTTACGTTGCGTGTTAGATTTTGGAGGACCCACTCTAACGGAAATATAATTAAAATATAATTAATTTTAAAAAAGAAAGAAAAAGAAAAGTGACGATGGCAAGTGCGGAACAAAGCTCATACAGATGGAAAATGTAAGGGAAAGAACAAACACCAGTTAGATACTTGTAATGTGCTGTGAAAATGACCTGAACGTACTGGAATCCACCGATATTAATATTGTAAGATCACCATTCATTGAATCCTCAGCCAAACTTTTAATTTAATCATACTCAATCCATTTTTTATTTTAAATTAATAGATAGACCTTTTATGCACCCATCGTCCTTCCACGTCATCATCATGATCTGAAAGAAAATTTCGACATATTGTGCATGGATTTTACATGCATGCAGATAAAGGCTACAGCTACATATTGTTGTATAAAATAATTCATATATTCAATTTATCCAATAAGTATTATTAATTACCAGAAATACACCCTCTCGTGCAGCGAGTGCCAAGATATCAGCGCAAGACACAGTGCCCTTGCAGGCAGCTTCGACGTTGGTTTTGATAGCATCGATCACTTCATAGCCTCTTGCCGACAGGTTGGGTCCGGCGTTTTTCTCTCCGGTGAAGCTTCCTGTGTCGTCTAGTAGGATTCCGGCATCGCAGCCCTGAAGAAGTAAATTAAATCAGTATCAATATAATGTTAACATGAAAGCGTTGATATATGATAAAGAAGATGCTTGGTTGATTACATTTACAAAGCAGTCGTGGAAAAACAGGCGGAGGATGGAGGCGCCGAGACGGGCTTCTCTGGCGAGAGCCTTCCTCATTGTGCTGCGAACGATGGCCTGAAGGTTAGGGCAAGATCTGGCGTAGAAGTTGGGAGAGAGCTGAGCATTGGAAGAAGAAGCCAAGAGAGAAAGGATTGAGAGAGCAAGAAAGAAGAAATGTGTGAGGGAAGCCATAGCTGGAGCTCGAAAACTGATAAGAAGAGAAAAGAGAGAAGATGAAGATTTGAGTGTGAGCAAGGGATAGAAGGAATAGATATATTTATAGGAGAACAGTGTCAAAGTTGCGTGCTGCTTCCACGCGGTTTCGCTTCCTGTGCTATCTGAGAGAGCGAGCCAAAAGCAAGAAGGCTGCTGATAGATAATGTCAAAAGAAGGCCTTTTTCTAAACAAAAAATATTAAATATTCTTTTTAAAATAATATAACTTTTAATTTGTATCTTTTCAATCACCCATTCAATTTCAATTCAATTCAACTTAATATTTATAATTTATTGTGTTAAAAAATTATAGAAATTGAGTGATATTAAATTAAAAAAATTATACTCTCTTCGTTTAAAAATATAAGGTATTTTTAATCGAATTTCACTTTTAATAAAATAATTACCTACTTTTTAACTAACCCTATCTTTTCATATTTACCCCTATTAAACACCCTATACTAAATACAAAGTCATTAACAATAGAGACATTTTAAAAAAATAATGATTATATTTTAAAAGATTAAAAATGCCTTACATTTTTAAACATCAAACTCTTTAAACATTTTAAACGGAGGGAGTAAGAATTAAGTTATTTCAAACCAAGAAATTTCAAAATGGAGTTGTATCAAATCAAAATTTAAAAATTAAATAATAATAATCAAGAAGAAGTTGAGAACAAAATTATATATATATATATATATATTTCTTTCTTTAAAACAAAGTAGGTTGCTGACGCATTAATTAAACCATGACCGCTGGATTTAAGTGTGGATGAGTTTGTGAGTAGACCCTACAGTTACATTTGGGCTTGCTTCTAATCTAATCTCACGTTTGGTACGGCGAGAAATATATGACGGGGTAGTATATTATTAAAATATATTATTAAATTACTTTTGTGTCTTTTCCACCGCCTCCTATCTCTCATAGCTAACTATGGAGAAAGAGAAATTTGAGAAAACAACGAAAATTAGATTCAATTAAAAATTATTTAAGTGAGTCTCTCGCTTTTTCCTTATTATAAAAATCGTGATGCTCACTTTTAAAACGTTTGTAATCTGCTAGCTTTTCCTAAACATATTAAGAGTAACATTTTCATATAATTCACACGAAAGGAAGCTTATCAAATCGTGATGCTCACTTTTAAAACGTTTGTAATCTGCTGGTTTTTCCTAAACATATTAAGAGTAACTTTTTCATATAATTCACACGAAAGGAAGCTTGTCAAATTTGACTGGTTGACTCTTCAATGTAGAAAGCAAATTAAGATAATAAAAATAAATTTAAAAAGATGCACACATGATCCTTCAGCCTTCTGGGTTCATTGCTTCATGCTTTATTTGGAAAAGCGTGATCTTATTAATTAGGTGTGAAGATTTTCTTCATGTAACACGCTAAAGTCTAAACTATATATAATCCAATTAATTGCCAGAGCAGGTTTTAATTTTATTATATATAATATATGATTATCACATGGTAGCAAAGAAATTAGGATAAGTTAGCTGGATGAGGAAGACGTTTTCATTAATATACGTGTATAAAACTTAGCCTATACCCCCTTTGTTAATCTTATATTTTCTACACATGCATACACATTGTGTGTATTAAATTATGAGACACTTTGCAAAATAAAATCATTGTTTTACACTTTTTCACTTGTCATAATATAAATTAAAGGGTTAAATATCCATTTGACTTCTAAACTATATGTTTAGGAGTATATGGGATTTTAAACTTATTTTTTATTCAACACTCCTTCTATCATTAACAAAAGTTAACTTTAATGATTAGTTAATCATAAAATAACAGAAAAGGACTTCCAAAATTATGGAAATGACCAAGAAAATTTTCTTGGTCATTTTCTGTGTTTTTTTTGTCATTGTTTGTAATTTTTAGATCTTGGATTAAGGTTCAATTTTGTCCATATACTTATTTTTTTTAAAGCACTGAGCACCTTATATTTTTAAGTGAAATAATTTTATCTTCAAATTATTTTTTGAAGGAGCAAAGATCCCCTTCCACTAATTAACTATTAATTTTTTTGTTAATCATCTCTCCATTTTTTTTCTTGTTAAATCACTTTTTTGCAGCATATTAATGAAATAAGTGATATCTTCTAATATTAATGGTTGATTAATGAAAGGTGGTTTTTGCTCCTTTGAAAAATAATTCAAGGATAAAATTATTTTACTTAAGAATATAGAGTGCTCAACGCTTTTAAAAAATAAGTATAAAGGTAAAATTGAACCTTAACCCTTAAATCTTTTGTTGTAATTTTCTTGATTTTTTCCTAACAATTCTTGTCAACTAACAATCAAAATTAACTTTTGTTAAAGGTAAAGATTACATTATACTATTTTTAAAAATTAAGAGAAAGTATTGCATAAAAAATGAGTTTAGGATCCTGTACATTTATTAACCTATAATTTAAGAGTTAAATTATCCTTTAACCCTAAATTAAATAATTTAGTTACATGATGAAAACAATTATTCAGAAATAAAATGACCCGCGAGTCTAAGCTAAATATAAAATTTTAAATGATTTTAAGAAAAAAAAGAGAAGTAATTTTTAGTTTTAAAAATTAATGGAAAAATGCTTGAAAAACGCCTTCTAAAATTTAGGATTGCCCCTTTGTTGATAATTTCAAGCGACTACTATTTTCCAGATGGGAAGTAAAAATTGGTCAATGAAAGAGTCTTTTTAAAAAATATATAAGAAAAGATGTTTTAGATAGATCTCTTTCCTTTTTTTTTTTTTTACAATTTCCCTTGATAATCCTTTTTATTTTTAAACAAAATTGTATATTTATTTTATTTAGATGTTATTTGTAGCTTTCTTATTCTATGTTGGATAACTTTTTTTTTTTTATATTTTTGTTTCATTCCCTTGAGTTCATTATTTTGAACTGTGCATGTATTGCCGTGAGCTAACCTGAAAACGATGGCTCCTTCAAAAATTAGCCAACGATGGCCATTCATGAATGCACTTATATAAGCCGCAGCTAAAGTTGAAAAAAATAATTGCTTGAATACGCCTTGTAAATAATTCAAGGAACATGACAAATATAGGAACCAGTAAAGGTACTAAAGAAGCAAAAGTAAACTTTATCTGTACACGAGTAAACTTCCCTTCTCCTCTTGCTGTTCACATGATCTTTGACTTATATATAATCCTTCTTTAAATTTTGCAGGACATTTGTCTATTAGAAATGGGAGATTATTATACATGTTTAAAAATCTCAACGTCAATAAAATCGGATTTTATTGAAGAATAAAAATGCTTTTAATCCTTGTCATGCCTAGTTTCACGCCTACGTACATTAAAAAAAATATAATGAGATACAAAGGAAATGTAAATGTAAACATCTATGAGATGTACGCTTCATTATCATGTTCATTATCTCTTTTCTTGTTCTCCTCTTCATGAATATATTAAAGGGATCTATATATAGTAGAATCCAGTATGCGCAGCTGTAGAACTGTAACTTTGGGAGTTAAAAACCCCTTTTAAAAATTTCAAGTCAACGAAACACGTCTCAATATTAAAAGTGGGGAATAGTACGTCTCCCTGCTTTTCGTCAACTTGTTTGCCTGTCTGTCACTGGTGGCGGCCAAGTTGATGACCGATATAAAAAAATTGAAAAACAATCATACTCACACGTGAATCGCTTACAGCTTAACCCGATTTTAATTGTTTTGTACATTATATATAAAAAAAAAAAACAAGAAGAAGAAGAAGCTAAGGATGAATTTCATTTCAACTTATTTATGTTTGATATATACTAATCACAGATAACCATGTCGATGCATTGATGTTATGCTGCCCCGCATGTATCTAATTGATAGATACATTGATATTTGATGATAGAGAAAGAGAAATTGATTCGCTATCTAATAATGCAAATATCGTTGAGAATTAAATAGACATCGCAATACTGATGGCATATCCTGATGTACTAATAATTCATGATTGATTAGTTCACAAAAATACAGAGCAAGCCAAAATGATTGGATGAGAAGATGAGTCAATTTATTTGTCTAATGACTTTATCTTTGCCACATCTGTTTCTTGAGACCATCAGCTGGCTTGCCGGTCCCCATGCTCATATTTTATTTTAAACGTGATGTACGTCACATATTTTTAAATTTTTAAATTATTTTAATTTCTTTTTAAAAAGTCAATAATAACGAGACTTATCTTGTTTGGTGATCTGGTTATATGAATAATAGGATAACATTTAATAGATTAAGTTTATTTTGTAATAACATTTAATTCCATTTAGTAATATACTTCCTCTGTATATAGGTATTTTTAACCAAGTCTTGCATATCAATAAATATTTATTATTTAGTTGAACTCATATAAGAACATAATTTTACCCTTAATAATATCATAATAGTAGTAGGAAAAATATACAATTAATGATATATTTTATTTTTCAAGGTAATGGTAAAATTGTCTAATTATTTAAAAATGTCATTATCACCTCTCATGTTTAGAGATAAAATAAGTTTTTAAAAATATCTTGTATATAAGAATGGAGGGAGTATTTAATATTTTTTTGCGCATCATGTTTTTCTTCTACTTAACTAAACATAAGCAGAGAAAACTATTTCTTAAATTTTCTTGTCTCTTCATTTCCTTTCTCTACCTGACCAAGGATTAATATTTATGAATATATCTATAATACACACAGACACAGACTCATGTAATTTGCATTGTTCTGGGCTCTTGTCTCCCGTACCACTGGGGAAATGACCTCGATCATAATTCATGCCAATATCCATATAGTCTTAACAAAAAATAAAAACGCGCGCGCATACATACATACATACATACATACATACATACATACATACATATATATACATATAAAGAATGTTCTAAACGAAAACAAAGCATATAGTAGTCAAGCTTACGACTAATCCTAACACCTTTTATATACAATATTTTTGAAAATATTATTTTTTGGTGACAAATCATCCCGCATTCAAAATTAACCACATCCTTCTTCAATTAGTTAATATTTGAGTTGGATTGTGCT